GAGTTGATAGCACAAAGCACCTCCTCTTGTGAAATGGGGGAGTCCAGAATATAGCAAATCATACTCAATCAATAATATGTCTTTTGCATCCCAAAATATGCTGGCCATTACCTTGCGAAACTTCCTCGGAGGCAGAGAACTGGGGTGCTTCCATTGCATGGATTCCAAATTAGTTTCTTGGTCCCAGTGGTGGATCCATCTTTCATCACCTGTCACTAGACGAGAAAGAAATCCGGCTTCATCAGCAGTATAGAGATCCAGGAGGTCTCGACAACTTTCAGTTCTCTGATGGCGATCTTGAGCTCTGAGGTTTCTAGGTACCCATCTTGCAGATACCTTGGACATACCAAGATGCTCGTGAATAATGGTTACAACAGTTACAACTGATATCTGGAATTCCCTAGAAAGTTCAGAAACTTTCACTCGTCGATCAGACAAAATTCCTCTTTCTACAGCAGCAATGGTTTCCGGTTGGGTTGCATCTGAAGACCTTGGGTCATTGTCTATGGACTCCCTACCCTTTTAAACTGTAGAGACCAACGGCAAACTGTGGAATAGTCAGGAGCATCCCTACCCATCACTTTACACATGCGATCATGGATTTCTTTTGCTTTGCATACCTCCATGGTAAGGAACTATATTACAACGCGTTGTTCATGTTTGAGAGAATCCATGCTTGTGACCACCCTTAGGTGAATGAAGCCATCACATCTAACTTATTGTTGTGTCTAGAACGTTTTATGACACGTGTCAACCTGATGTTATGACGAGTGTCACACCTGCCACAAGTTGACATTGTTTGTGTAAACACAAATGCCCAAGCTGCAAAACTTATTGAACGCCCCTCGTACACGTCGATCGAGTTCATGCCAGAGGTGTTCGATTGGTTTGAGATTTGGAGATCTCGAAGTCCAGGGGAAATCGTTGATGTTGGCATTATGGAGGTAGTCTACCGTGACACGAGATGTGTGCGGTGGAGCATTGTCCTGTTGAAACAGCTCCCTCTGGCGGTCAATGATTGGAAGAAGGTGAGGTTGAAGAATTTGATTCATGTAGCGAGTTGCTTTCAAATTTCCCTGAACCACAACCAAGTCAGATCTCGTAGTGTAGGATATGGCCCCCACACCATGACACTACCGCCACCGACATTGTCGAATTCACGTACACAATGGGGGGCAAAACGCTCATTTCGACGACGATAAACACGTTGTCTTCCATCTCGCTAAACCACACTCGTCTCGAGTTTCCCAAATTCCTGTAAGGTATGGTACCAACCCAAGCGTCGCTGTCGATTGATATGTTGCAAAACAGGGATGATAAATGGTGGTCTTCAGGGTCGGATTCCAGCCTCGCGAAGATGGTTCCTGACAGTCTGGTCCGATATCCTCCTCAAACCAGGGATGCGTCCTGCAGTTTCCGTAACTGTGGCATTGCGATGACGTAGGTGGAACAGTCGAATGTAGCGATCCTGTGTGGTAACTCTTGGTCGGTCGGTTCTCGGACGGTGTGGAGTGGAATTGAACCGTGTGTATCGGTCCTAAAGGCGGCAAACGGTGCTGTGGTAGACGTTGAAGAGGCATGCAACAGAAGACTGCGATTCCCCTCTTTGGATACGTCCAATGGCGATGTCCCGATTGGCAGCGCTGAGTCTCAGCATTTTCGAACTTGAAAAATGTTGACAATTGAATGACAAATTATTGGCTTATGCTTGACTTTTTATAGCCACTACCACGAGTTACGAATGCAATAACTTGCATGTGCATTTTGCTTTACTGTTTTCCTCCATGACATTTTTGAATAAGTATGAAAACAATGCCGTTTAAGACATTGCAAATAAACAATGGCTGCGCTTGGACGCACCGTTTGTTGACTATCAGGCCAACATTTTCCAATAACATATATCTAATTTATAAACCGGATTTTTGGGTCGTCAGGTTCAATGAACTACATCCTACTTGTGCGTTTCTCTTTTGAAGAGTGTATATAGTTTTCTACGATGAAAGAATTGCTTGTGGAACATTTGACAATTTTACAAGTGATACGTTAATGAATGTGATATTTGCGCTTTGGAATTCGGACTAACAATCACCACCATTAAACACCGGGCCCTAGTGCTCCAACGTTTACTTACAGCTCATCTTTCTCTGAAGGGCAATATAAGCAACAAATAAGTATTGTGGACACAGGAAACCTCTGACAAATGTCATCTGTCAGGTTTCATTTTCATGCACTATTTAAGGGAAATATTATTGCCATTAGGAACTACCTGAACAGCATGTCAGCAACGTGTAGACAATCCATTCTTTGTGTCATTTATTGCTTAAAATAAATCATTGTTTTAATTGTCATGTTTGAAGGATAGTTTCCGAATATTTCACAGAGAGAACTGTGGGTGTCATCACATCGTTTAATGATGAAACTTTCACGCTTCAACATAACTCTGTTCAAATAATATATTGATCATGCAACATCTGTATGGTGGCTGTCAAATGGGAAGGTGTTCAGCGTCTTTCGGGAATTCTAGAAACTATGTATAAATATATAAATGTATGATTTAACATATAAATCATCGTCTATATTTCAGTTGTTGCCAAAAAATCCAATTGCATGTTTTGGTCCTTAGGAATTTCCCAGCATTGATGTTACCGAGTAGAACACTTGAATAACTGATAATACCGCATTCAAAGATATTACAAGTTCGGAATTATATTATTTGAACACATGGTGTGCAGCAACGGTTGGAGCCACGGCCATTATACCGGCGCTTCACTCAATAAAATAATCGCTGTCCGGGGATTCATGGGGGATGAGGGCCTCACCAAGGCTGTATGTGTCATGTTCGTCTCATCATGGCTTTATGTAATTAGACCGCCTCGGTGTTTTAGTGGATAGAGCGTCTGCCTGGAGAGGGCAAGTTCGGTGGCTCAATCTCCGGCCGCGTCATACCAAAATACAGTAAACGAAGGCACTTGTTGTTACTTTAGCTTGCAATCGGCATTAAGGGGATAACTCATTGATTGGTCTGCTCGGTCAGTATACTGTGTCTGAGTGGGGTTTCCATGTTAAAAGACCGGCTCACACGCACGCACGCACGCACGCACGCACGCACGCACGCACGCACGCACGCATACACCCACGCACGCACGCATTCACACACGCACACACATGCATCCATTTCACCTAACCTTTATGTAGCATGTGGGCCTTTTCACGAATGTATGCAATATGTCGATCTCACCAAGGCTGTCTGCGATGTGCCATTCTCACCACGATTAGGCGCAATATGCCCGTCTCACGATCATATGCAATATGTCGGTCTTAACAAGACCAAATGCAATATGTCGGTCTCACCAGGACTTTATTGCAATATGTCGGTCTCACCAGGACTTTATGCAATATGTCGGTCTCACCAGGACTTTATGCAATAAATTGACATCACCAGGACTATGTACAATATGTATTGTGAATACACAATGCCATTTAGAAAGTGGTCAAATGTAACAAATGTTATATTTGGGATAACACTTTCAGTACAGATTTAAAGTACAGATTCTCGTACATTTTTGGGTTTAATCCCGTCCGCATGTTATAAAATTATTGTATTCAAAATTTGTTGCAATCTTGCCTAAAATGAAAAATGGCCCTTTAAAGGTGAAGGTTTGAATGTGACTACACACTATAAATATTTGGGTGTAAAACCCAACACATCTAGCGCAATGGTTTATGGAGAATGTGGTAGATTTCCTCGATTTATATATTCACACCTGAAAGTCATAAAGTACTGACTGAAACTTATTACAATGAATTCATCCCAATCCAAATATACCCTAAGAAATGTTACAATATGATGATGTTATCGATACGAATGGAAAGACTTATTTGATAACAAATTGTTATTCAATAGTGGATTTTTGAAATGTTTGGTATGAACAATTTGTACAATCTGAAAGTGTATTTACCATTTCCTTTCTACAGAGGCTAAACGATATTTATCTGCATTCGTGGTCATTTTCGTTGACATTATCGAATATTTTTTTATATTATAGAATGTTGAAAACTCATATAAACACTAAACAGTATCTGTTTTATGTAAACATAAAGACAAACCGTAATTCATTGGCAAGATTTCGTTGTTCATCCCATTATTTATCGAGAGTGGGTGATATACAATAAAAATACAATCGTTTGCCTGCATCTATTGTTACCTATCTACAGCTGTGTTGATTGGGCATCCTGTGTCTGCATCTATTGTTACCTATCTACAGCTGTGTTGATTTGGCACCCTGTGCCTGCATCTATTGTTACCTATCTACAGCTGTGTTGATTGGGTATCGTATGCCTGCATCTATTGTTACCTTATCTACAGCTGTGTTGATTGGGCACCCTGTGACTGCATCTATTGCTACCTTATCTACAGCTGTGTTGATTGGGCATCCTATGCCTTCATCTATTGTTACCTATCTACAGCTGTGTTGATTGGGCATCCTATGCCTTCATCTATTGTTACCTTATCTACAGCTGTGTTGATTGGGCATCCTATGCCTTCAACTATTGTTACCTTATCTACAGCTGTGTTGATTGGGCATCCTATACCTTCATCTATTGTTACCTTATCTACAGCTGTGTTGATTGGGCATCCTGTGCCTGCATCTATTGCTACCTTATCTACAGCTGTGTTGATTGGACATCCTGTGCCTGCATCTATTGTTACCTTATCTACAGCTGTGTTGATTGGGCATCCTGTGCCTGCATCTATTGCTACCTTATCTACAGCTGTGTTGATTGGACATCCTGTGCCTGCATCTATTGGTACCTTATCTACAGCTGTGTTGATTGGACATCCTGTGCCTGCATCTATTGCTACCTTATCTACAGCTGTGTTGATTGGGCATCCTGTGCCTGCATCTATTGTTACCTTATCTACAGCTGTGTTGATTGGGCATCTTCACCATTGCCACAATACGATCGTTGTCACAAGAATCGAAGAGGCGAACACACACTCGTTATAAAACATGTTTATTGAATGTCAAAAGAAATCGTTAGAAATAAGCTGTATGTAATTCACACACAAGCCAGAATAAATCATCACACGAATACGTTAAGACCATAACAAGAAAACACATAACAGGTATGGAAAGTGTCCCTCCAATCATATGGTTTATTGTTAAACATCCAGTCTGTACAACACATCCTTATAACGTCCTGCACTGGGAACAACCGTCGGTGAATGTGCCTGTGTCACACAACCGTTGCTCTGTAGCACCGCGTGTTTATTTCCTGACCATCCACAGCTCGTTGTACCTGTTCTTCATCTGTAGAGGGCTGCTGTACGTGGCGAGATAGAAGTGACTGTCATCGTATCGACGAGCATCGCCGATGGCAGTAAACAAGTCTTTCCGCGTCTTTTTCACTCCAGACTTTGAAGTGTATCCGCCGAATGATCTGAAGGAATACAAGACTCTCATCTTAATCATGGACCTAATTGCTACTATATCAGAGGAATGGCTCACTGCAGCGATTGTTTGTTCATTTCTTGAAAACTTGATTTCTGGCAAAAGTAGATGAAGACCTATTCTAACCCGGATCTTCACGGGTATTGATTGTTGTGCTACCAATCCCTGGTTTGTGTCGTCTAGGAACTATTGTACTGTGACTGGATTCGGCGTTCAACCATATTTTGTTGATCACTTTCAGTCAAAACGTATGCATTAAAATATTAAAATATTTCGTTAAGCAACTTCACTGTTTTACGCAAACATATGCGACTGAAGGCGGTGCAGGAAAGACAATTGAGCTTGCTCAAAACAAATATTGAATAATGTCCCATACCTGAACGCAAGTCAGTGATAATCGTGGTTCTGAGACCGCTCAATAGTACACGAGTCTACCTACTGTGTAATCATTACAACATGAGAAACTTAATGGAATTTAATGGAATGTTAAGTTGTGTTAGTGAAAGTATGCAACTCACGTGCTGAAGATATACGTGACTGGACTCGACACGACCGTGACCTTGGGGTCAGAAGGCGTGGGTGGGGCCGATTGGCTGCCCAGAGGGATGTACATGTACATGGTCATGTCGGTCGTGACGTCAGATCCGGGGGCACGAACTACTTTCGTCAGGAAGGGTAGAGTAATGTTCAACGCTTTGCCTGAAAACATAGTATGTGGTCATTGTCATAATATTAATTAGAGTGGCCATCAGTACATGATAGTGGAACATTTGAAACCATCTATCACCATAAAGGCGTATTCAAGTATGCTTCGGACTCCATCCGCGCTTGTCTCTGTGTAGAGATTTCATTCAGCTACTGACACAGTAATCTATTGCACGTTCTCACTACACCCATGAAGATCCGGGGTAGAATAGGTCTTCGGCAACCCATGCTTGCCGTAAAAGGCAACTATGCTTGTCGTAAGAGGCGACTAACAGGATCGGGTGGTCAGGCTCGCTGATTTGGTTGATGCATGTCATCGTAACCAATTGCATGGATCGATGTTCATGATGTCAATCCCTGGATTGTCTGGTCCAGACTCGATTATTTACAGACCGCAGTCATATAGCTGGAATATTGCTGAGTGCGGCGTTAAACAACAAACAGGTAAGTTACTCTGAAATCCTTTCTTGTCCCATCTATCAACGTATAAAGGCGTTTTTAAGTAAGGCAAAGATACGTCATCGCGGAATTCACATTGCTTCTATTTATTGACTCTGTGTAAAGTTTTACTGAACTATTAACGCAGTAATTAATTATATGTTCTCACGGCAAACAATACACACCTGTGGAGACAGGCCAACATGTAACCATCGGATCCCCAGTTTCGTAGATTCTACATTTTGAGCGAGTATGGTTGTAGCTATACTAGCCATATCATGCACTTTACCTATGTGTCGAATCGAACACGAGTTCTCGAACATTTTAACCACACCAGCTTACACACTTCGCAGTGTTTTAGCAACACCAGGTCACCTACTCTGTACATTAGCACCGCTCAGATAGGACAGCAGTCTGTTGAACATCTGCAAGCGAGACGTTTCCAGGTTTCTGACGTCACCGGAAGTGGCGACCCACCTCTCGTTGGCGTACACCCGCTCTTCATATATCTGTAATACATCCAGGTAAAACTTTAGAGCTGTGATATATGTTTAATGAGAGGTAAGGTGATAATTTGGTACGATACGTAATGCAATTATGTCTTTCATTTACAAGGTGTCTGAACTTGAAGACTCGAAACATTTTTTATTGTTTGTCCCGCCGAGTGAACTTTACCTTAAAATGTATTTGATCAATCTCTTCCCTGATGATGGAGCAAGAGAGAGTGAGTGTGGTTTTACGCCGCTTTTAGCAATATTCTTGCCATATCACAGCGGGGGACACTAGAAAAGGGCTTCACACATTGTACCCATGTGGGGAATCGAACCCGAACTTCGGCGTGACGAGCGAACGCTTTAACCACGAGACTAGCCCTGAAACATCGTATCAACCAATACTATCCACAAAAAGGTTTTATGTACTCATAATACAGTCTTAAGTTCTACAGGGGCGTTCGCTCGTCACGCCGAAGACCCGGGTTCGATTCCCGACATAGGTACAATGTGTGAAGCCCATTTCTGGTGTCCCCCGCCGTGATTTTGCTGGAATATTGCTAAAAGCGGCGTAAAACCATACTCACTCACTCACCTAAGTTCTACAGTCTGACTTCTAAACTACCGGACAAAAGAAAGTATACACTTGAAAATTTGATTTCACCAGATTACAAACGTTGTTCCAAAATGACAAGGCTGAGAACAGTCACCGAAACACTGCAATCATAAGGTCTAAAATGTAACGCTGATACCCGCATCAGTTACATCAGCATCCATTTCTTGTTCGTTTCAGTTTCAGCCACCACCACACGTGGATGTAAAATTTCTTTTGCCCGGCACTTTATCTCAGTTTATTCAAGAGGTATGCAACTGTATATATGCAACAGATACATGTTCCTGGAAAACTCGGCGATGACGTCGAAAAAGTAAATGGTTGTTTATGAGAAACGTGGGACACCATAGTATAATGAATGAAGGAGATGGCTTTAGGTATTTCAGTTATATCACAGCTTGTCATCTTGCTGTGGAGGAAAGTCCTAAACGACGCAATCTAACATGTTCACAACTTTTGTTAAACCAACCAGGGTTATGGTGCCGACAAACCTGGAAATATAATCAGAACGAATCTCGGATTCGGACCACAGTCATTGGTTACGCTTAATGAAGAATATCATTTAAATCTTGAGAATTTGTCTGATCGACTGTAGAAGTAAACTCTTCACTGACAATGGAAACAGCAGGTTGTTTTCTGGGATATATACTCACACTGCGTTGAGCGGTTTTGCTGTACGATGGGCAGTCAAAATAGTAACACATGACCGTCATGTTCTGCGCATGCGCACACGCTGCTAATAGAACACCCACCAGACCAAGCTGCAACACTACTTGTGACGACATCATTGAGATCAAGGAGGGCGCCTGGAAATAGACAAGGGGGCGATTGTAAGCTAAGCCTTATCATGTCGAATTAATGAATGAGTTTGGTCGATCGCTGATTTGAACAGTATTTCAGTTATCAATCAGGGCGTGTCAGTTTGATGTGACAGGGAAACACAAAGTGATGAAGAACTTAAACCTTTAACACTTTGGTGAAACCCACGAGAACGGGACAAACCTGACAAACCTAGAAACATGGTTTCTGCCTGAGAGTCGTAAATCGGCCTCACATGACTGGGACAACCCTGCCCCTTCGATTTAGTTAGATGAACTATTGTCATCATTTTATATCGACTGTAATCATATGACATCGGGGTGGTGGGGTAGGCGAGTGGTTAAAGCGTTCGCTCGTCACATCGAAGACCCTGGTTCGAGTTCACACATGGGTACAATGCGTGAAGCCCATTTCTGGTGTTCCCCGCCGTGATATTGTTGGAATATTGCTTAACGCGGCGTGCACGGATTGACACGGGTTGTAGTCATGTGTCATAAAGGGTAAGCCACATGGTGTAAGCAGTCCAGAACACTGAATATAAAGAGGATATTTCAGGTGTCGAGTGAAATATGTTTCTCTCATCGAATGGCAGGGGGACAGAGATTTTAACACGAGTATATCTCCTTGTCCCCCGTCACGAGATGAGAGAAACATGATATTCCACGAGACACATGGAATATCCTATTTATTATATATACTTTTTGTGTAGTTGTCTCTCTGAAAAATAATTTTTTTCATTACAAATGTAAAACCTTGAAACGTAAATTCTCCCGACCTAACACACAGGTAAAAAAAAGTAGTAGTGTTTGCAAATTCATCAAAATATATTAACAAAAGTAACATCAATATTTAGGGTCGCGAAAATTCGGTATAATACATGTAGATTTGATTACATACAAAATCAACTTAAAAAATATTCTTGAAAAATTCGATACCGCTGTTGGAATCAAAAGAATACATGCTGGTCAAGTAACAAAAATGACGATTTGCGAAACGAACGGTCTCGATTGACGAGTTAAATGAGAAATTTACAGTTTATAACGGAACTTTGTCAAGAGAATAACAAATGCCATGAAGCGATAATAACTTTATTTATTACTTGCCCGTGAAGAGATCACCCGTTTAATAAACATACAGCTGTATTACACATTGTGTAATAGCAAAACGCGTGCTTATGTACTCTCGGAACACGTTTCACGAACAAATATTGAAAGCTCTCAACATCCCTTGGCTTATTCAACGACATTGCGTGTGGAGATAATAGATCACTGAGAGGAGCTTATGCACACTGGATGACCCCAGCAACCTTGTTGCTAGGTTGACGTCACATGGCATTGTTTCGCCGAAGGATCTTGCAACAAAATTCCACAAATTACGTCATCGGGTATTGTGATGTGATTGTGAACTTTGAGGTGCAAGGCCCCGTTCCACAAGGCGATCGTACGGTAGCGCGACGACATTCGTTTAGTTGGTCTAAGTTAAAGTATATGAGTTGCGATAACCTTAACGCTACGATAATTTTGTGGAACGGACGCCTGAATTCTAAAGGTGGACCGTTGGATGGTATTAAATTCATACGTTTCAACTTTTGACGTATTTGAAGTATTACTGTGTTAAACTCAGTTGGATTATGCCGTGGATCGTGTAGGTTTCAGCCTATTCACACTCAACAGTATAATTCTAAAAACGTTATAAATGGCCAGTAATAAATAAAATACTAAACTCGCTCCCTTGTAAAACCAATTTTATGAAACTCGTGAATAGTTATGGTATCTGACTCGCTTTCGCTCGTCAGATACCTGAACTATTCACTCGTTTTATAAAACTGGTATTACACGGGAGCTCGTTTAGTATTCTATATAAATGACCATCTGCAATGAAAATATCACTTTTCTCAACTTAGGAAAACTCAGTCTTTCACACTGAAGTATATAACAAAGTGATGTGTGGTCCCTGACAGCACCATGAACGTTATGGGCAACTATATAACGTCAAATTATACGGATGTGTTTCGGGTTACAAGAGTCATGTTTATTTACATCAGCATAAGTTACGTAAGTCATGCGCATGGGACATGGGATAATAAACTCTAAACAAACATCTACATCGCCACATTAAGTTGTTTGGGGGATGACAGGAATGTCGCGTGCATCCGGTCATGTCCCCATCATATGTGGCGGGGGTTTGGTGGGGTTGGGGTCGGGTTTGGTGTAGGGGTGGGGGTTGACGAGACATATATTACACTGACGAGCCTGTCTACGGCACATTTAACTACCCCACGATCTCTTCCGTTGCTTTAGAATACTCCATCATAACACTGACCTTCTTGATATCTATCATGACAATGACTCGCTCACATCCAGACTAACATACACACAAAGTGCATTAATGTAATTGGGTCGTTCTGTCATCTTCATGTAGAAAACACAAATGTTTCACAGTGTATAATATCATAAATGAGATAATTACCATAAATGCATATTTATATCCCTGCGATTCATTCTTGTCATGTCAGTGGGTAGTGTGTGGCACCGCACGAAATTCGTGGTGGGATACGTTATGACTTTAAACATGAATTTCAATTACCGAATCGAGCATTCAAAGCAATGTCAGCCCGTTATCTGGACCCGAAAGGTAAATAAACTCAAATACATGCTGGATACACGTCAGCGTTGAACACTGTCACTCAGATCATTCTAGATACTTTACGAAAGTTACTAAAACAGTGTTCGCTGTCATATCATTTCAGGTTCTCCCGACATCAACACATCATATCAGCTTGAACAGAAAGGGAACCACGAACGAATGACAAGGGACAACCCTATACATACGTTCACCTTTTAGCGAATATCTGGTATCATCACTATTTGAGAGTGTGATTCATAAACACATGCTGACTACATAGTCGGTCAGTGGAGTCTGCTTTTGTAGATCATGTGTGATCATGGAAAGGGTTTTGTCGCATTTATTCATAAATGAGCCTTCTTTTTGAAGTCCCTGCTCTAATCCATGATAGAAAGCACATATCATCGCCATCTACTGGAGCTATAGCAACTTGGATTGGCCCATGTACCGTTGCATTAACTCTAATCCCAACCTAACAACATGCTCTGGCGAGACCTAGTTTGACTAAGCTCGCTTTGTGCAAGTCGGGCCATGTAGTCCACATATTTCAGTTCGTGAAGTTATTAAATATGAATCATGTAATGCATGATACGAAAGAAAGGGATAGCGTACTTTTCGCGAACACCTGGCACGATCACTATTTGAAAGTGATCCTGTAACTCTTCGCGGGGCGGTCGGGTAGCCGAGTGGTTAAAGTGTTAGCTCGTCACGCCGAAGACCCGGGTTCGATTCCCGACATGGGTACAGTGTGTGAAGCCTATTTCTGGTGTCCCCCGCCGTGATTTTGCTGGAATATTGCTAATAAAAGCGGCGTAAAACCATACTCACTCACTTTAACTCTCCGCAATGATTTATTATAATTATGGAATGGATTTTGTCGCTTATATTTATATAACACAACCCCATTTATTCATGAATATAACTTGATAACTATTGATCGATGTACTGGATATCCCCTTTCAGCGTCTTTGGCATCATGCGTTACATATATCAGAAACGACTACTCATCAATCTGAAGTGATCTGTCTCAATAAGGGACGTATGCTGGAACAGGTTTGGGTCTGGTGGAGCTACATTAGCAGAAATGGTAACTAAATACTGATGTCAGACCGTGGATAATGTTACGTCACGTTACACGGAGTGAGACAAGAGGCTGTCATCTACAATAGATGGGGCATGTCCTGAACATCCTGATTCAAGCCGTCTTACGTGTTACGTACAAGCTGCCTGTATCGTGTCAGTCAGAGTTTGACCAGTGTCAACACGTTATCTGACCATGGCGACTGGTCGGTTTAGTCCAACATATAGTCCCACATATATAGTTCTCTCACACACACATACAAATATATACAAATTTTAAAAAACAATCCTAAATAGAGCCAGAACACATCTGAATTTGGCAAAATCTTTCTGGAATATCGGTCTGTCGTTTTACAGTGTAAAGTGTACACTTGCAATGTGTTAATTACATGTAGTGGCCACTGAAATTTGGTTGATACCATACCACCACACGACCATTTATATAGCAATAGCAACGTTACCTGCATCTGAAACCAAAATTCTCTCTACAACTCCAGTCCCTTTTGCAAAAACATTTGTTTAACACTTTCATTTTGGGTTAAGCAATAACTACAGGGTGTTTTCGCCGTTCAACTGCTCTCTCGGGTAAGTAATGGTGTGTTTTAGAATGTCATACGTTCATCACATAAAACATAGTACTCTCACCACCCATCGTGCAGTCATGTCACTGCTTCTATATGACGACATGAACACATTACACACAACGTGATGTCTGTGAGTAAAGCAGGAAGACATATGAATAGCATCTGCATTATTTCTTACACCGAAACGTTGTATAGAAATATCAACGAATCTGTCGTCTTCACACATTAGTTTTAATCATGAACACTTGATATCATCACTATTTGATAAGGTTGTATACACGTATACTCGTGATATAGTCGGAATCGTACAGTTATAGAAATACAACGAATCTGTCGTCTTCACGCACTAGTTTTAATCATGAACACTTGGTATCATCACTATCTGATAAGGTTGTATACACGTATACTCGTGATATAGTCGGAATCGTACAGTTATAGAAATATCAACGAATCTGTCGTCTTCACACATTCGTTTTAATCATGAACACTTGGTATCATTACTGTTTGATAAGGATTTATACACGTATACTCGTGATATAGTCGGAATCGTACAGTTATAGAAATATCAACGAATCTGTCGTCTTCACACATTAGTTTTAATCATGAACACTTGGTATCATCACTATTTGATAAGGTTGTATACACGTATACTCGTGATATAGTCGGAATCGTACAGTTATAGAAATATCAACGAATCTGTCGTCTTCACACATTAGTTTTAATCATGAACACTTGATATCATCACTATTTGATAAGCTTGTATACACGTATACTCGTGATATAGTTGGAATCGTACAGTTATAGAAATATCAACGAATCTGTCATCTTCACACATTAGTTTTAATCATGAACACTTGATATCATCACTATTTGATAAGCTTGTATACACGTATACTCGTGATATAGTCGGAATCGTACAGTTATAGAAATATCAACGAATCTGTCGTCTTCACGCACTAGTTTTAATCATGAACACTTGATATCATCACTATTTGATAAGGTTGTATACACGTATACTCGTGATATAGTCGGAATCGTACAGTTATAGAAATATCAACGAATCTGTCGTCTTCACGCATTAGTTTTAATCATGAACACTTGATATCATCACTATTTGATAAGGTTGTATACACGTAAACTCGTGATATAGTCGGAATCGTACAGTTATAGAAATACAACGAATCTGTCGTCTTCACGCACTAGTTTTAATCATGAACACTTGGTATCATCACTATTTGATAAGGTTGTATACACGTATACTCGTGATATAGTCGGAATCGTACAGTTATAGAAATACAACGAATCTGTCGTCTTCACGCACTAGTTTTAATCATGAACACTTGGTATCATCACTATTTGATAAGGTTGTATACACGTATACTCGTGATATAGTCGGAATCGTACAGTTATAGAAATACAACGAATCTGTCGTCTTCACGCACTAGTTTTAATCATGAACACTTGGTATCATCACTATTTGATAAGGTTGTATACACGTATACTCGTGATATAGTCGGAATCGTACAGTTATAGAAATACAACGAATCTGTCGTCTTCACGCACTAGTTTTAATCATGAACACTTGGTATCATCACTATTTGATAAGGTTGTATACACGTATACTCGTGATATAGTCGGAATCGTACAGTTATAGAAATACAACGAATCTGTCGTCTTCACGCACTAGTTTTAATCATGAACACTTGGTATCACTATTTGATAAGGTTGTATACACGTATACTCGTGATATAGTCGGAATCGTACAGTTATAGAAATACAACGAATCTGTCGTCTTCACGCACTAGTTTTAATCATGAACACTTGGTATCATCACTATTTGATAAGGTTGTATACACGTATACTCGTGATATAGTCGGAATCGTACAGTTATAGAAATACAACGAATCTGTCGTCTTCACGCACTAGTTTTAATCATGAACACTTGGTATCACTACTGTTTGATAAGGATGTATACACGTATACTCGTGATATAGTCGGAATCGTACAGTGAACTTCCGTATGATTAGTGTTTTGTCGCTTCTGTTGTTGTACTGTGCACAACAGTACATTATGGTGGATATTTTGAGTGGTACCCATTGCTGAATAGTAAACTATTTTAGCAATGTTCCAGCACTATCACGGCGGCGCCACCTCGAACGATGTTAACACATTGTACCCATGTGCGGAATCGAACCCAGGCGTGACGAGAGGACGCTTTAACCACAAGACTACCGAACTCAAGTTAACAAAGGCTTAGGTATGCATGATTATAACGTGTTAGGCTTTCACTGCAGATTAACTTCGGACTCTATCAATCTTTAACGTAATGTTTAGGTTAAATACCACTTGGTTAATCAATTTAAATTGAAAACAAACCATATGGGCCGAGTTGCCATAAGAGGATGTAACCATTGAATGTAAATCATAGTTATTACAGATATAATTATAGAAAATCATAATTTGTTGTTCCTGAATAATACATGAAGCACTACAAATAACGGTACAATTTTAGAATAGAAGTTCTTGTCAACGAATCCTTCTACTTGCAATAACCTATGAAAGAAATATATCAAATATTTACTAACCTGCGAAAGATGTTGGTCGGGGCTGTAGCACTAGGACACAGGAAGGAAGTGGATGTCTGCGCCTTATATGTACGTGGCATCACGTGCACGTGACCAAACGCCATTCTAGTTCACAAAGTCATGTGACATCAATGATTGACGACGTCATGTATCAACGATGGGGTGTACGTCAAGGTCATTTTTCATGCCGTGCCTCATCCTCACTATGTTACCCCTAGCTTGATTCATAGCATGTCTGGTGAGGCATTCGGAATATAAAAAAACACATAAATAAACTTAAATATGTAAACTGAAATGTAAACATAGAACGCGACCCTGCTCTTTTCTCGACGTATATTTCTCCAGCGACAATGAGCTTAATGTTAACTCAATCTGTGTCGAGCGTTTAACAAAGTTCCCCGGATAAAATAGTGTCACAATTCCAATTTTATCTTCAGCACGTGAATATCCCTAAAATTGTATTTTAATATATGGAATTGAAGTGTAATATTGTTTCGTCCCCGTGTGCATATGTCCACACACATAAAAAGATTATTGTATTGATGAAGGTATCATATAAACGTATACACCAATAATAAGCGAAGAGAGCATTTTGTGTTTTTTATTCTTATTCACATTGAGGAATAATAAAATGCAATGATAATTCAGTTCTTTACGGAAGCCTTTTAGGGTCATTTGTTTTTTTCTTGAAATTTCAAGATACTAAGTTGAAATTTTAAGTTAGTATCTTAAAATTTCAAGATGATTGTCTTGAATTTTCAACATAACATCTTGAAATTTCAACATAACAAGATTTTCATCATTAATTCAGATCATGTTTGATATGATAGGGTGGTCCATAGGTAAACATCGTGACCTTCTCCCTGCTTGTGACGTGGGAGATGTTGGGACAACATGACATGCTTGACCTTACAACGGTCATAAGTGAGATTCAGTGTCATTTATAACACGAACAGAACACATTTTATTGATATTTGTGGACATATCATCAACAAAGTATGTTGCTCTTCGGGTTGCAATTCAAGCGACGGCTGCATGAAAAACGACGCTGTCAACTTTTACACGGTTTACCATTAATAATAGATGATAAAGATACATGTCTCTTACGTAACGAGGCTTTGTAGTGTGTCCTCAGTTAGGAATCAGTCTTTTAAATATATCTCCAACCTCATCCCCATAGACTGATCTGAGGGCGTCATCATGACGAGTGATGGGTGCTGCTGGTAGGAAGGGCATACTTACCCTTTTCGCGAACACCCGGTGTAAGTCATAAGCCAGCTTATTATAGAAGGAACCCGTGACGATCCGGGGTAGAATAGGTCTTCAGCAACCCATGCTTGTCTCCCCTTGTGAAGATCCGGGGTAGCATAGGTCTTCAGCAACCCAAGCTTGTCTCACCCCGTGAAGATCCGGGGTAGAATAGGTCTTCAGCAACCCATGCTTGTCTCACCCCGTGAAGATCCGGGGTAGAATAGGTCTTCAGCAACCCATGCTTGTCTCACCCCGTGAAGATCCGGGGTAGAATAGGTCTTCAGCAACCCAAGCTTGTCTCACCCCGTGGAGATCCGGAGTAGAATAGGTCTTTAGCAACCCATGCTTGTCTCACCCCGTGAAGATCCGGGGTAGAATAGGTCTTCAGCAACCCATGCTTGTCTCACCCCGTGAAGATCCGGGGTAGAACAGGTCTTTAGCAACCCATGCTTTCCGTAACAGGCGACTATGCTTGTCGTAAGAGGCGACTACCGGGATCGGGTGGTCAGGTTCGCTGAATTATGCATGTCATCGTATCCAAATTATCCCGATGATGATATCATGATATCAATCACTGGATTGTCTGGTCCTGACTCGATTATTTACAGACCGCCGTCATATAGCTGGACTATTGCTGAGTGTGGCGTTAAACAACAAACAAAACAAACAAATAAGGCTAAGTTTCTCTGAAATCCTTTCTTGTCCCATCTATCAACGTAAAGGCGTTTTGAAGTAAGTCAGAGAAACGACAAACAAACAAACAAAACATAATTTTACCCTTTACTTTGTGAAAATCTTGAACATGAGAAGGCAAAGTGATTGTAACTTACTCAGTCTTATCAAGCTACGATGGGTTGAGATAAAAAAAATTTGAAGGGGAAATGTTTCTAACATAAAGTGTTATCCTTGTGATTAGACCGTTCTATGAAATGACTATTAATATACATAAGCAACAGAGGACTGAAACATATTCGATGTCAACCGTTTTAGTCAGAGCTATTGTCTAAGAACCACTTATATAGTTGTCTTGTCTTTAATAAAGTCCTCCATGTGTATGTACCTAGTAACACAGGATTGTTGTTAGAGACGAGTTAAATTAAGATCCGATGTCTACTGTTTGAGCATGTCCAGGACTCGATTATTTTACAGGTCGCCTTGATATAGCTATTATGCTACTAACTGCAGCGAAACACACTTTATTCACCAATTCACTACTGATATTCTCTTTTTGGGCGTGTCACTAACGTAAATGTCTATATCCAAAATAACAATTGATCAAAATCTCTGATTTACGCCAGCTATTTACACTTTTCGAAAGCAGACAGCATTTCCGGGATAACATGAGCCAAATCGTTTATAGCTCTAGTGCCGAGCTCCCGACATCCCCTGCAACACGCAGCTCCACATTTTCCACATTTATGCTTGCTATGAGGGAACACGTATGACTTCGGCTTACATTTGTCACCGATGATAGCCTGTAAGTCATCGTGAAGCTTTCCAGAAGGATTGGTGGTTTTTTCCAACACCGTTCTGAAAAGTCCCTCCACCAACACCAATCGCCGCTTAAAGAACTGGACAGCCGCCTTTTCACTGAGATCATGGAACTCCTCCTGGTGTTGTAGCCCATTGGTGCCACTGTATTCAATGTGCACAGCCCGAGCTAGACAACCCTCAAGGACATCATCAAAGTCATATTTGTCTGCTAGATGCATGAAATGTACCAGCTGAGACTTTGCTAAACTTTCCACGTTTACTTTCAGGTAGGTTGTGAAAAACGTGCGACAGCGTTGTTTCAGAGACGTCATAGCATATTCCTCCGCTAGTGGAAGTAGTGCGTCAATGTTGTCTACTGTGACCGGATTGGCGGTCGATGGGTAGATGCACAGAAGCAGCTCTACCATGTCGTCGTATGTCTTCCCGGGTAGGGGAACTTCTAATGAGGTTTTCTCTTTGAATTCCCCAAAGAACATTTTTTCAAAGACTGGAGATGCAATCGAAAGTACCGTTTTGTTCACGTGCAGCTTTTGGCCCTCGACTACAAGCACCACATCACTTGTCAGGGATTCCTCGGAAAACATGTTCTCAGAATTTTCCATGACCGCTTCTGTAATAAGAAATTGTATATTAGGAGCATGAGACGACGGTGTCATACGATCACATACGCGCCACTGAGAGTTAGTTTTCGGACAGTTAATTTCCTTTCGTGATTTTTTTACGTTTCAGTTTTGGCCAAATACACTCATCTCGACGGGTAATGTGACTGAATATTGGTAAAATGTGGTTTGTTGGCATTGAGTTGCACACGACAACGGACTTTTGTTTATTAATCAAGGCTTCCCGCTAATATTGTCTTCGGCTTTTGAACAGATGCACACAATTTGACGTATTACCTTTCATAATTTGTATTCTTAGCACACTTTGAGCTTTATGTTATGAGGGTCAAGATTTGTAAAGCACATTCTCAAATTGATCAAGACATCTATTTCGGAATTGTCGCATGACTGCATGTTCGGCGTCAAGCAATAACTATTTACTACTGTAAAATAAGTTGTCAAGAAAGTGAGGGGGATACAACTCTAAATACTATTCTCTGGGGCCGCTATATCATGAAGACCAAGTCATTCATTAATAGTTGTAAGGAAATATCATATTTTGGTGTAGCAGACGCCCATGAGCTCCACACACTGGTGGACCATTTACTTGTTTGGGCAGAGTCTGGTGTTTTTTCATTATTCTTAAAACAATACTTTATCATTATTCAAACTATTTCTTATTGTATACTGAGGTGAAAACATATTTTATGAAATAATTAACTGCATTAGTTCGGTACTTAAATGTGTTTTCGTTGTTGTTTTAGGTGAGTGAATAAGCCAGCTGTCACAGACAGATATAATAGTTTTATTCGATTAACAGTTAATTCACACCTGTGAAACTAATTTTCCCCGTAATGTGTGTATATTTTGATACTTTGTTTAGAATCAAACCTTTTTTAATGGTAGATCTAATAGTAGTTTTCTTTTTATTCATCAGACGGCGACATTACGCAATCGTCTAGGATCCCTACTTGTATGTTATTTAGGCCTTAGGAACTGTATTGTAATGTATACTAATGTACCACCGATGTTGTTTTTTTCTGAGAAACTCCGAGATACGAGAATCCGAATCCGTTTATCCATAGAAACCGCCAGGGTGTCAAAACAATAGAGTGAGTGAGTGAATGAGTATGGTTTTACGCCGCTTTTAGCATTATTCCAGCAATATCACGGCAGGGGACACCAGAAATGGGTTTCACACATTGTACCCATGTCGGGAATCGAACCCGGGTCTTCGGCGTGACGAGCGAACGCTTTAACCACTAGGTTACCCAACCGCCCCTCAAAACAATAGAATATACTTCCGGATAAAACTGAGGAAGCGTCTCCGGCAGTGAACAGTATTGTACACTAGTCACATGGTGCCAGGCCACTGTCATGTTATACTCACTATCGTCAACCTTGTATCTCTTGAGCAGGGTAGCGAGTAGGCAGTCACCAAGGCCACAGACCACAACGCAGACACCAGGCACTTTACAGCAGGAAGCGGAATTTGCATCAAAACTGTGGCGAATAATGTTCAGAGTTATCTGCTCTTGAACGTATGCACTTAAAGAGTACGTTCGTCGATCGTGTCACGTGTGTCCCGTTCAATACCAATTGATTCGTCTGTTTACAGGTTTAAGCATGGCAACACTAGTACGAGGTCGCTATAAATAACCAATGTCGTGAGGTGTTTGTTTTACATATACATTACATACACAAAGAGTCCTTGCGAAACTGTAGCGTCGGCTGTTTGAACAAGATGATTCTGTCACAGTAAAACTGTTCATATCCTGAACACCTGGTGCAATCGCAGATTTACAGTGATCCATTCATATCATTTTCACACCGATTTTGCTTTTTACGCCCAAAGGAATCTGTTTCCTCAGACAATCGACGCTGACTATTCTTTGACGCTGACGTTTGATATTTAAGTGTCAAACATTCTATTTACAAGAGATATAAACTGCTAAAAACCAAGATTTATTCGAATTTGTTAAACTCTGGCATATGTATGTGGACCTGAGGACTTAGTTGCATGACATCCCTGGGCTGAAGTATAGCTCACATGGTCTCTGATACAACGTGAAACTAAACTGTTGTTATTGCTTAGTGTAAACTGCCGGGCAAAAGACACTCGCAAAATGGATTTCTTGTTTTTTTAATTAAGCCACCATCAACCATAAGTATACTTTCTTTTGCCCGGCAGTGTAGTATAATTCAATGTGATGCCACCGACGTAGTGGCACCAGTCGTGTACACAAATCCAAAGTACTGCCTATATACTACTGCCGTCCTGTTATTTCATGTACACATTACAATATAAGACTGAACGTTCTAGAAGGTAATGGTACTGAAGCTTTGAAGACAGCTAGCATTTTAACATTTGACCTGGCATGTTACAAAAACAAGAGCACCTATTTCTTTTTTCAGTTAAATACATGTATAATATGATTCACGCGTGTATCAAACATAAAGTTCTCAAAACATCGTAAACGACTATATAAAACATACTGCCGTCAAACTGATGATTATGCACGATGACAATACACGAGTATTAACAACATTCACACGTCCCACAATTTGTCTTTAACAAAGTCCTCGTTGTGTACGTCACAAATAAACAGGATTGTTGTAAAAGCCGATTTAATGAGGATCCTGTGTCAACTGTTTGAGTATGTACATGGGAACTATGGATCGGTGTTAAGCCAATGGTTGGCCAGGTCTCGTTTATTTACAGGTCGCCTTGATTTTGCTTTTGTGCTATTGACTGAGGCGAAACATGATTTATTCTCCAATTCATTACTGATATTCTAAATTTTTTGGTGAATATCCGTATCCTAAGATCAAAATGTACGTCTCACTTGTAAAACGATTACTATTCAGACTCTTTGAAAGCAGGCAGCATATTCTTGATAACGTGAGCTAAATCTTCCATCGCTTCAGTGCCGAGCTTCCGACATCGCCCGCAACACACAGCCTTACATTCTCGACATTCGTGCCTTGCATGGCGGTGGGAGAACTCGTTACACTTGCCGCTGATGATAGTCTGGAAGTCCTCTTGGAGGTTCCCGGAAGCAGTGGTGGAGCTCTCCAAAACCGGTCTGACAAGTCCCTCCACCAACACCAATCGTCGCTTAAAGAACTGGACAGCTGTCTTGTCGCAGAGATCTTGGAACCCCTCCTGGTGTTGTAGCCCATTGACATCACTGTATTCAATGTACACAGCCTGGCTCAGACAATCCTCAAGAACATCATCAAAGTCATATTTGTCTGCTAGATGCATGAAATGTACCAGCTGAGACTTAGATAAAGTTTTCACGTTTAGTTTCAGGGAGGTTGTGACAAACGTGCGACAGCGTTGTTTTAGTGACGTCATAAGGTATTCCTCCGCTAATGGAAGTAGTGCGTCAATGTTGTCTGCTGTGATCGGATTGGTGGTCGATGGGTAAATGCACAGAAGCAGCTCTACCATGTCGTCGTATGTCTTCCCGGGTAGGGGAACTTCTAATAAGGTTTTCTCTTTGAATTCCCCAAAGAACATTTTTTCAAAGACTGGTGATGCAATCGAAAGTACTGTTTTGTTCACGTGCAGCTGTTTACCCTCGACTACAAGCGCCACATCACTGGTCAGGCATGCCTCGGAAAACATGTTCTTTGACTTTTCCATGGCCGCTTCTGTAATGAGAAAGTTTAGAAACATTTGAAACTTTCTTTTGCACAGCTCCGTGTTCTTGTCGTGAAACAAAGCGCAGCGATGACTTCAGACTTTCTCCAAGACCCTATCCACGACGAATTATTCAATGACTGACAAAATAATCTTTGAAATAATCACCAAATAACAGTTTGTTTGTTTTTTGTACATTTACATTTATTTATATGCACATTACATGTGTAGCTGCTTCCTCCCGAAGCAAGGTGTCAACAGACTGTAAAAACCTACCCTCGCCGAACTAGAGTGGCATTTCTCGATCGTTGCGCCACCAGTGGCTATTACGAGTTACGTTCCTTCTATAACCCTCCTATTAACCAATCAGATTCCACCTCTTATATCACTTGCGTTTGCTTCAAACAAAATGACGGCGCCAGTCGAAATAATCTGATCGATAATCAAATGTATATTGTGATAAAACGGGGCTTACATCGCGAAGTGCATCAAATGACATGAGTACCATGATTAAAAACTTGAAAAGATTTGGAAAATAGCTGTTGACCCCGAGTTGGCTGTACACATGCTTTACAAATCCTGCAATCGACTAAAATATAACTCCATAATTTCAGCCTAGTTCGGCGAGGGTGGAAACTGGACTTTTATAGTCAGTTAACTTCCTTGACTCGGGAAGATGGTGTAGCTGTAACGTTTACTATGCATTAAAACATAAATGGCATCCGATACCCTGTGAACTACTGTCAGTGACAATCGAGTGTATTGTAATTGTTTTATTCACAAAAAGTGTTAGGCCGTAGGCCTATTACACAGAACTATTTACAGAGAGAGGGAGAAAAAAGAATTACCAGTATTTTACATATATATCCATATCCATACACATTTATACACATACGCATGCATATATACAAATAAATATTTAGACTGTTTGTAATGACCGAAGTCGAAAAGCTTTGTAAACGTAGACTGCTAGATTTCGTATGATTTTAAAGTTAGTGGATGACATAAGAGCATTAAATTTATTTTTAGAAGGGGTTGTAAAATATTTAGGAGGAATGTTTTCAGCTCTTAAATCACTATAAGCATTGCATATAAGCACAAAATGATATTCGTCCTCAATAAAATTTTGGTTACAAATGATTTCACACACTGAAGTGACAGCTACTATAAAAGTACATGGAGATACAGACTGTAGTGTCTTCATACAAAGTAACTGTGAACTGTGAGACACGATAGTGGCCTGTGTAAAGAATATACACCCGGATAAAACCGAGAATCGTCTCCGGCAGTGAACAGTATTGTCCACTGTCACATGGTGTTGGTCAACTGTCATGTTATACTCACTGTGTGTTCTATCGTCTACCTTGAGTCTCTTCGGCAGGGTGGCCCTCCGAGTACTGTCAGTCAGCGGGTGGGCAGTCACCGAGACTACAGCGTAGCACGTGGGCACAACGTCGACACAACGTAGGCACAACGTCGATACAACGTCGACACAACGTAGGCACAACGTAGTCTTCATCGCCGACGTACTATACACGTTGCGCCTTCAGCTTCCTATTTCAATCAGTCCTTGATTAGATATGGTTACCCTTAACGGCTTGGTGTATTATATATTTTAATATAAGACAACATTGCTAAATCCAACGGAGGGAACACTGGCTTTGTACAGCTAGCAGGAGCTCTACCGAATAATTGAATCAACACTTGCGAATATTGTGTAGAGTTATGTGCTCTTGATATGAGTCAGGCGCTAAATCGATCTCTACGTGCAAACAACGTTTGACTTTTGAAATAACCAACTCGCCGTTTTCAAACACCAGTCGTGTTATGTTTTCAAAAGTATTATTCCAATGAAACAAACATCGTTGTTAATGTATGCATTTACTTTTTTAACAAAAAACTTTGTTCCATTCAATACTCAGTAAATCGTCTGTAAAATGTTTGAGTGTGCGGACACGAGAACGGGTGGTTATAAATAGCCCACGCCATGCGGGGTTTGTTGTCCACATTGATAACATACATACCGAGTCCACACGTAGCTGTAACGTTGGTTGTTTGAACAAGATGATTCTGTTATATCAAAACTGGCTTATATTTCTCTTCGAAACATACCGGTGAAGATACGGGTTAGAATGGGTCTTCAGCAACCCATGCCTGCCGTAAAAAGCGACTTTCCTTGTGGTGAGAGTGAGTGAGTGGGTTAAAATGTAACGTCACATCGGCATCATTTTCAGCCAAGTGGTGACGAGCTTGTCGTAAGAGGCGACTAACAGGATCGGGTGGTCAGACTCGCTGACTTGGTTGATACATATCATCGTATCCAAACTGCGTGGATCGATGATCATGATGCCAATCACTGGATTGTCTGGCCCAGATTCGATTATTTCTACAGACCGCCTTCATATGGCTGGAATATTGCGTTAAACAACAAACAAAACACACAACAACAGTTTCTCTGAAATCCTTTCAAGAAATGAACAAACAAACAATCGCTGCAGTGAGCCATTCCTCTGATATAGTAGCAATTAGGTCCATTATTAGGTCGATTATTTACAGACCGCCGTCAAATAGCTGGAATATTGCTAAGTGCGGCGTGAAACTCCTATGTATATGGACCGGGGACTATAATATACCTTTGACACCACTGGGGTGAACTAAAGCTGAGATCGTCTTTGGTGCCACATGAATCTGAACTACTGTTATTGATTTATGTGAACTGCTGGACAAAAGAAAATGGTCCCTTGAAAACTGGATTTGACCAACAAATTACAAACGATAGGAAAACGTTGCAAGGCTTAAATCTGCCTGTTGTTGTCCATTTGTGTCCACCGGGTAGATGCAGTTACTGTAAACTATGTTCATAACGAACACGCTCTTAAAGGAACCTATGATGACGAACGTATTGTTTGGTCCCGACCATTTGTTATATGTATGCTGTGTATATTCTTATAACGAACTACGCTTGTAACGAACTAAAATGTCTGGCCTTTGATTTCGTTATAACCGTAGTTTACTGTACGTGGATATCAAGGAAGAATGTGCACTTTTATGGAAGGCTGAGTGTGCAGTTTGACTCTCACACTATCAACCACTGGTTTGCTTGCTCCAGCACCCCGTAAACAGTCGATGACAGATTAAAATCTATTCCCTCACTTGATAGTTGTACAAAATGTTCGTGTTAAAATTATACACATCAATTTTCACACAACTACTGGTATATAGGTGTTCGGTTTGTATAGGTGAGGGAAGATATCCGCGCTGTAAGAAGTACAACTTGTGATATCATTCAGCCGGAGTTGACGAAATATGGAGGACACAAAGTGCTCCAGAATACCACAGAACAGCACTTTATTTCTCTCAGGCCGAGCGCATCGGCATACAAGGTACAAACAGTATTTTACATTGCGGTGGACAGAGGTTAACTGGGAGTTTTTTACAATTTTCATTATAATGTTAATAAATTTACATAGTTTGTTTTGGACAGATATCTTATGACAAATAATTGCTGGAGTTGTAACATATTTGGCCTTTTTAAATAGTGTTTTGGGATGTACATGTCCCTTTGTTCATTGAAATATTTACATTTGAGTGAGTGAGTGAGTATGGTTTAACGCCGCTTTTAGCAATATCAGACACCAGATATGGGCTTCACACATAGCACTCATGTCGGGAATTGAACCCGGGTCTTCGGCGTGACGACGGCGCTTTAGCCACTAGGCTACCCGACCGCCCCTATTCACATTTGAAAATATAGTGGAATTCATCTCCAATGTCAAAACTATCACACAACCTGTATTTTTCGAATGTCCTCCGTTCCCCTCGCTCGTCATGTCAGACAGGTGTTACGAGCGGCCCAGTCGTTTGAGGCGCTAGGCAGAGTTCTGTCAGAAACATAAGATCGTGGGTTGGAACCCAAAATGGACCCTGATCATGTTTCTGGGTGTGCCAGCTCCATGCCCGAGTTGGTGGGTTTCACCCAATTAGTAACAGTCATCACCTGGGGTTTTCTCCCACATAAAGCTGGCACGCCCTGAAGTAAATGAAATACCGTTCAAGGGCGTAAAACATTGCTCACTCACAAGACAATAACTCGTCCTCTCTCATGTCAGGAAGTGTTGTGTATACGGAAAGCGAAAACAAGAAGAGTTTTTAATATTTCACAAGAACAGTGTAGAAGGAAGAGAAGTTGTCACTCGACCACTCCACCAACAAGAAGAGAAAACCCTTGCACAGGTGCAGCAAGAACACGCTCACTACACAATCTTATGTTTTATGCACAGAGCAAGACCCATGCTGGCGTTCCGTGCATTTCCCCACGCTCGTAGCGGTTTGTACTGTTCACAGTCACCCAAATACATGTTGGACTACACTGTATTGTTTAGTAGATTATAATAACCGACCTTCATATATTAGTGTAATTAATAAGGTATGAGTTATCTTTAGTTTCTTCTGAACGCATTTAAATAATAATTTACAGCACCATACCCGTGATCATAGGCCAATTCGATGTGCAGAGGCCTTCGTAAAACCTTTGATCACTGGTTGCACACCCCGATTCGCCATGATTAGGTTTCTAGGTTTGTCGACACGATACTCATGTTCGTGGGTTTGACCAAGGCAATGAACATCTACGACCTGCATCACTTCGGGTGTACCTCCCACATTAAGCTGAGTCGCCGTGATATAACTGAAATATTGTCGAAAACGTCCTTACACCTCACTCACTCATTCACTCACTCACTCACCAGCCCACTCTCTCACTCACCAGCCCGCCCACTCACTCACTCACCAGCCCACCCACTCACTCACTCACCAGCCGAACCCACTCACTCACCAGCCCACCCACTCACTCACTCACTCACTCACTCACTCACTCACCCACTCACCAGCCCACCCACTAACTCACTCAACACCTTGTCCTGGTTGTCACTGTCAACTTCATATGTAGAGACGGACCCCACATGGCTTATCTTCCCAAACTACACGTTTTCAAACACGATTTGGGGGCACGGGTGGCCCAGTCGTCTAAGGCGCCGCGATTCGCTGTGCAGAGTTGCGTCCCTGGACACGCCAGAAACCTATGATTGTGGGTTCGAATCCCGGTTCGCCCCGATTATGTTTCTAGGTTTGTCAGCACCATACCCGTGCTCGTGGGTTTCACCGAAGTGGTAAACGTCTGAGACCTGCATCACTTCGGGCTTTCCTCCCACATTAAGCTGACACGCCGCGATATGACTGGAATACTGTTAAAAGCGGCGTTAAACCCAACTCACTCACTCACTCACTCAAACACGATTTAATGAAAATATAAAGTCTTACTGACCAGAATCTCTCTGTGGGCCCAGCTGAGCAAAATGTTATACATGCCCACACATTTTCATAACGTTGAAATCAATCCGGATTTTAAAACAAAATAGCAAAATAAGTGATGGTGATGGTTACATGGATCTATCTTTCCTGCCTATAGCATAATATCATGACTATGAAATGAGTGTGGGGATTTTGTTTCACATTTTTAATCTTAATTTCAACGTCAACACCTTAGATGTGATTATGATTGTATCTCTATCACATGCAAACAAATCAATTTCTGTACCCACGAAATAATGTTATTGTTGTATCAATATGATAGCCTGCCCATAAACAATGTGTGAAAAATTCATAACCACTTTTCATTTGGTAAATAAATACAACCTTGGATAAGTGATATGCCACAATACCTACATGCCGATACTTCAGATAGATATATACAAACACACGAACGATTATATTGATATTGTTTTATTCGATTATTAGAACGATGAAGACATGATGTTATATACACGGAACATTATGTACAAATGGATGAAGCGTACGTACATGTACCAGATACATCACTATGTACATGTATACAATGACAAACTATTAATTACAGTGAACCAGCCGACTAAACAGTATTTCAGTTATATCACGGCTTCACGGCTTCACGGCTTCACGGCTTCACGGCTTCACTGCTTAAAGGTAGTCATCAACGATTTGAGTGTAAGCTTTATATAACAAGACACAAGGAAAATACGATTACTAGTTTGATTGTTGTAATGCGAGATACGTTTAAACAAGATGTCGTGCTGATTATGTGTGAAGAAGGACAATTCATTTGTGAAGTATTTAGGACTCATGCAAATTTAGGTCTTCTAACCTTTTAAAATGACTCGATGACTACCTCTAATTTTGGGGAGAAAAACATGAAAGTAGGAAGGCGTTTACGTTAAGTTAATAGAAGAGCTGGAACGATTCACTAACGTCACACTTCGTACCCTTTTACACAACTCCAGAGTAAACCTGTACGCACGGAGTGCTAGTTTGATACAGAAACGAATCCCTGATAATCCCAATGCAGCCCCAAACTGCATGATGGTAAGTGCGTATTACGCCGCTTT